CTGGCTGTCTTTCTCTCTGACAAATAAATAAAACCTTTAAAAAAAAAAAAAAGAAAAAAAGAAAGGACGGTACAGGCTAACTGCGTCAAGGCTTAATTGGTCACATTCTCTCCTTAGTGCTACCTTTGGCATTTGGTACCTGAACGACTTCTTGAAGCCACGAGATGTGTGCGCTCACTGCCCACACCTCATACGCGGTTCCCAGCATTACTTACGCTCCGGGAAGCCAGGATCTGCCTCAGCAGCCTATGGAAGTACTGCTGCTGGGAGGTGAGGTAGCGCTTGTACTGGGACTTGAAGCACAGCTGCCGGTACTTGACCACCTCCGGGTTAAAGTGTCCGTCTGAAAAGAACAGAGGCACAACTGTGTTTATTTATATTTAATACGTGCTTAAAACGTAAACTCTGGGTTACACTGGAAGACGGTACAGGAGAGAAAAATGACAATCTTTGTGTATGTGGAGCCTACAGTCCAATGGGAGGCAGAAAATAAACAGGTAAACAGAAACTGTTTTTGAGTACTACAGGAAATTCATTTGAAGCAACTGTAGAGAGTAAGGAGGGATATATTTAGGAAAAGGACCTCTAAAGAACAAAACGTAAAATGAAGCCTGATTAAGCAATTATGGCAAAATGTTAACTGATAAACATTGGTAATAAAAGTCATACAGACGTCTGTTATACTAGTTACCAACTCTTCTGTATGTTTAAAAATCTTCAAAACAAAAAATTGGGAGGAAAACCAATGAGAATTTAAAAACAAGAAGTAAAAATGGGGAAAAGGCAGAAGGAATGGCATGTGCTAAGTCAGGATCCGAAGCAAGCAAGAACTTTGCACGTTCCAAACCTTGAGGAAATGTCTGTATGACTAACGCAGAGTGGGCGGCAGCTGAGGGAGCGTGTGACACCCTGGGAAGGCAGACAGAGATCCAACCACACAGAAACCTGTAGGTCACGGGGGGAGCTGGATTTTATCCTAAGTGCAACGGAAATAATTTGAAGGGTTTAAAGCAGGAGAATGACACGGCGGGGAGCAAGAGAGGAAGAAGGAAAACTCCTGCAGGGGGTCCAGATCAGAGAGGATGGCACCTTCCCTCCACACTCAGAATAAAAGCCAAGGTCCGAAAGATGGCCTGGAAGGCTCTTCATGATCTGTCCTGGGCTTGCTCTGGCCTCATCTTCCACCAGTCTCCTATTTGCTCCTTCTACCCCAGCCCCACTGGCCTCCATGCTGTTTCCTCAATAGGCCATGTACCCTACTCTCTCAAGGCCTTTGTACTTAAAGTTCCCTCTACCTGCAAGGCTTCCTACTAACACCCAGTATTTTCACAGCTTGCTCCTCTTACCCTCATTAAGTCCCTGTCCTGATATTAATCTCATCAGAGAAGCCTTGGCCAACTACCACGTCTAAAACAGCTCTTTCCTATCATTCTAGTCCCATTACCCTCCTTATTTTTGGAAGTACTTAATGCCCATAAGTATTTCATTGTTCATGTTTTTCCCTATGAGAATATAAGATTATTACCATATTTCCAGAACCTCGAAGAATGTCTGGCACATATTAGCTGACCAGTAAGTAAAATAGTGGTTATATGAACAGAAGTAGAGAGACCTGAGGATATATTCCTGGGGGAGAAGGATTAAACCAGCTGATAGTTTCAGATGCTGGGGTAGGATGGGGGCCATGGGGAGGTCAACTGAGCATGGTACCCTGATCACTGGACATGAGCAACTGATATCATCACCTGAGATAAAAAGGTCAAGGAGAGGTCCGTTTTGGACATATTAGATTTGAGCAGATAGACCATGGTGAAAACTGAGAGGGAAAGACTGAAAAGCTAATCTCAGAAAGCTAAAATGAGAAGTCAAAGTACACAGCATTTCTCTTTTTGTTCCCCCAACCATCCTAATACCATCCAAGGTAACTAATAACAGCAAATGCTTATTTAGAACAGCACCTGACAACTGCCACTATATATATAAGGACCCTGCGTATATTAACTCATTTCATCTTCATAACCCTATAAAAGGCACTACTAAATCCCCATTTTACAGATACAGAAAATGAGGCATAGAAAAGTTAAATAACACGTCCAAGGTCACACAATTAATAAAAGGGGAAAGCAGGTTTGAACCCAGGTAGCCCAGCTCCAGAGTCCAAGGTCTTACCCACCATGCTATGCTGCCTGCTGCAGGGAAATAGGATGTGACCTTCAAGAAACAAGCCCAGAGTTGAATACTCCTGATGCTGTTTGATATGTAAAAATTGGACTAGCATCTTTTTTGCTTCTGCACTTCTTTGAAATTACGTTCCTTCAGTCTTTAGTTTCCCCCACTTTTTGAAAGCCATTAAATGCCACCCCTCTGTTAAAACAGTATTTTGTATGTATGTATTAAAGAAAATATTATTGAAATAATTATAATAAATCAAAATCTTATTAAAATTAACTGTCTTTATCATTCTTACCACAGCTACTGGAAAATTTTAACTTGAACACATGGTTCATGTAATTAATATTTCTTTTTTTTTTTAAAGATTTTTATTTATTGAGAGAAACAATGATAGAGAGAGAGCATGAGAGGGGGGAGAGTCAGAGGGAGAAGCAGACTCCTCGCTGAGCAGGGAGCCCGATGCGGGACTCAATCCTGGAACTCCAGGATCATGACCTGAGCCGAAGGCAGTCGCTTAAACAACTGAGCCACCCAGGTGCCCCCACAGGCACGATTAATACGACGATGGGTCCTACTGCAAAATACCCCCATGAATTTAAATCCATCGTCCTAGAAGGGCCATCCCACCCCAGCTTGGGGGAGCCAAAATCCAGTGGAGGGGTGAAACTTAGACCCTGAGATACCAAAGGGGTCACAAAGGATCTTTTTAACTGAGCAACATAAGACTTAATATTGCTGTTCTCAATATCCTACTAGGCTGTGTGGACTAGAAGGCAAGAGCAGCTGAGCAGAGGATGCAAGACAGTGAAAACCCACCTCTACGAGTGGGCAGTATGAATTACTCACCAAGCAATTTCCACTGCTGGGTTTTCTCTTTGAATTCAACAAATGCTGAGAAACTGGAAGGTATGGCTGCAAGAAATGGGATCACGTGAACAAGCCGCACAGGTCGGAGCGCGCACAGAATTCCGAATAACTGCAATCCTTGAGCTTTGAGAGAACTTTTGAATGTTTCATAGTGGATCAAGACAGCGGAGACCCCCAAGGCACAGCACTAGGTGAAACCACAGGGATTTAACCAGGAATGCTGTAGTTTACCAGGAAAATGAATTAAACAAGGGGGGGTGGGGATACTTGACCCTAAGGAAAAAAGTACCTTACCACGACTTTCCCCAGCAAGATATTGCAGGGCTGGTAACACCAACTCTGCCCAGTTGGGGGCGGCAGAGAACCAGCTATTGAGGGAGCTGGCTGGAGAGGACTGCCAATCCAAAACCCGTTCCTCCAGCTAAGGGAAAACAAAGACAGAAGCCAGTTAGAGTTCTATTCCACACCAGTAATCCCGCAGATGCACCAGAGCAAGCTAGGATACATCTGCAAGTCACAGAGCAAGCTAGGATACATCTGCAGGTCACAAAGCAAGTTAGCTGCAGAGCTCTGAGAGGAACCCAGAATTCTTCTCCAGCTGTAGACTGTTAGTTTTCTACAATTTGAAAACTCTGATGTACATGTGACTTTTCCAAAACTCTTACCATAGGAAGGCTAGCCTGCCCCTCTAGCAGCAAGATCTCTAATAGAAGAGAGAAGAAACTGGAAGATATTTCATTGATTCCAAGGCAAGGTTTGAGGTCTTCAAGAGGCCTAATGAAGGAAAAAATATGTAAGAACAATTGAAGAGACCAAGAACACATCCCCAGATGGTTTAGGCCCTCCAAACCCTCTAGGAATCATACAAAAGTTCAATAAAGGACCACACCATACACGTTCCCTAGCAGGTCCCCTGGGACTCTGGTCTTGCACGTTCAACACGCACGGGCTCATTCCATGCACCAGTGCTGCGTACATCCCAGGTTAACCTTTCACCCTCGAGCAGCAATCTCTTGTTGCTCACTTACTCCTCCTTGATAGCAGGTATAGCCAGCGGAGAAGGGGCCTGGGAGAGAGGCGGGATCCCGTCAGCGCTGCTTAAGGGTTCAGCCAAATCCTCTGCCTCTGATTTGATCAGTTTTATTTTCTTCTTCTTCTTCTCCTCTTTTTCCTTAACCTTTTTTTTAAGGACAGCCAAGTCATACAGGGCTAGGAAGAAAAGGCAACACAAATCACAGAACTGCATTTTCTACATCAGGAAGTGAGGGTCTTATCTGAATGTTATTTTCCAAACACCCACCAGTAGAAGAAAGAAAAGTCTTAAGTAAAAAGACATTGAGTTACTTTTTGTTTCTTTTTGTTTGCTTTTTTGTTTTTCTTTTTTCTTTTTTCTACCAAATCCAGTGAGAGATTTTACAAGTTAATTTTAACACCTATTAAAGAGCCAAAGATCTACTGTATTGATTTTACACTCATTTTCCACCTACAAATCCATAAGAGGCAATAACTAAACAAAAGTTATCAGCAAGAAGGAAGCTGTGGTCTCATTTACTTATGCCACACGTAGCTGGCTGACGTAACGTAACACAACAGTCAGATGAGGTCAGCCTCCAGAGGACATCACTTACCTGCTAGAGAGCCCTTCCTGCCGGCATTTACTCGAGTCATGATGTCACTGAGAGTCAGGTCCCCTGTCAAAAGGTCCGGATGATCCTGGATGTGATATTCAGAGATTTGTTATCAAGGCCCCAAAAAGAAGCTAAAACTGCTGATGATTTTGCCAATTTACCTAGATATAATCAGATGTTGGGCGCACTTGCGGAAATCCTATCTCCCCTTCATAATGGGGCACAGAACCCACTTCCAACATTTCTACTGTATGGCATTTAGTTTATAAAGCTCTTTTGCATTCCTTATCTTAGTGCTCTTCAAACAATCTTGTTAAGTGTCACTATATTTTATAGTCTGAAAACGGGGTTGAGAAAAAGGTAAGGGAATTGCTGATTTCCAGTGTGGACGCTTTCCACCTCACTACCTGCCTTTTCTTCCTCCCCTCTGCTCTTTGGCTTGGCTGCACTGGCATTACCTTGACTTGGTAGAGTAACAGAGAGAGTAAAAAGTGGGAAGAGCACAGGATTTGACTCCTGACTTCCTAGCTGTAGGGCCAAGGACAAGCTCCTTAACCTCTCCAAACACAGGTAAAATGGATATAATGATCCATGTACCAGTCTTGCTATAAAGATTAAATCAGACACTACATCAAGCATTTGTCTTCCTCTCATATCTCTGGTGTTAACGAGCCACTACAGTGGCTCCTGTCCCCCCAACAATAGAAAAGGAACCATAAATGATATGGTGACTACCTTCATCTCCCAAAAGCCAATCCAAAGATATCAGACTGAAAACCACTAATGACCACCCCACCCAATCTTACTGGTTGATGTTTCCGCTTCTCATGGTGCTTCTTTAACATTATCTTCAGGTCACTGTCCCCCAGTTCTATTTTATCTGAGAGAAAATGAACCAAACCACATGGATTAGGTCATTCACTAACATGATGCTCAAATCCAAGTCTTTCTGGTCACTTGTGATACTCAAAAGTAACACGTTCCTCTGAATGTCCCTTCTGAATCCCATGTACTACAAGCACACACAATCTTGAAATAGTCACAGGATCAACTCTTCAGCTTTTCTCTACACTGATCAGTAAAAATGACCTCAGTTAGTTAGCTGTTCCTGAAACACCTCAAAAATTCTTAACCGTCTTCTTTGATTCCTATCCCAATTAAAAGTTCTTCTCTAATTTCAGACATTCTAAGAAACTGCTATGGCTCTGATTACCTCTTGTTCTATTATTGAACTGTCCCTAAATATTGCTATTTTAATAATCTACTTTAAGCCCAAAATACCAGCCGATTAGCTCCTAAAGAAAAGCTTCAAAACAAAGGAAGGAAGAAAGGCAGGCCTACCTACTTGTAAAAAGTGGAATCGTACAGAAACTTCTCCCAATCTCCCACTTATGAGGAACACTGCTTCGATTCCCTGGCAGTAAGAATCCAGCGCCCACCCTGTAAGGGAGTTCTCAGATCTACGTCCTGATCTCCCAAAACGTCCACAGCATCACTCAGTTCTCACCTGCAGTTTTCATATCCGTGGTTGAAAGCGTGGGCACCACCCTCAGGGGCACCGCAGGGCTAGGAGAACGCGCTGGAGAGCTCGGAAGCCATGAGCTGAGATCTTCAAAAGAAAATTTTTCTTGTAAATCCAACGTGGCTGTGGACTCCAATAGGGGAGATTGGGTAAGTGGCCATTTGGGTTCAACAAGGCTAAGCCAACAACATGGAGGCCAGGGTTCCACCACTCCTTTCTGGCCCTTCTCCAGACGAACTGGAGCACACTTAGGTCATTTAAACGGCTCTTCCAGGAAGAGAGACTTCAACAGAGTGATGGGGTCGCACTGCAGCAGGCCAACAGTCACTACTACTCTCCTGTAGGGGGAAAAGTAGCTCTCTCAAGTGGCACAATAGGACCAGACAGGCCTACTGTGGAGAGCCCTGCCACGCAGGGATTCAGCTCACCTAGACTCTAATGCCACGTGAGCACCAAGGGGACAAAGGTATGCAGTCACACCCCACCCAAGAGGAATGGCTCAGAGCCCAAAGACTAGGGAATTCTGAGTGCCGTCATCCAACCCCCGAGACACACAACTGGGAGAGCTTCTTTCCCGGGAGACAAATGGCTACCACTGGCTCCAACTGAACAACACGCTGCTGGTGTAAATCCAACATCCCAGCTACTCCAAGTGCCCACACTCACCCTCTTCATCAGATGACAGGTCCGTGTCGCCACACTCCTCCTTTACTTCCCTCAACACCTTCAAGTAGCGCTGCTGGGTCCGCCACTCCCGCTCCTCAGGGGTACGGGAGGGTGAAGGGCGCTTCTGGCGGAAGGGAAGGGCTGGGCCGCTCCGTCGGGCCATCTCCAGTAGGTCCTAGGAAGAGATCAGATGGGGATACACGTCATCATCCAAAGCTTATTCTGGTGCATTCCTCAAGTCTACATTTTCTTCTCTTGATTGTTGAACAAGCTCAATTCCCTCCTTTCAGATCAGAGATGCACACAGGAGAATATGTCCAAATAAGAAGAGCCTCTACTAGGGGCGCCTGGGTGGCTCAGTCGTTAAGCGCCTGCCTTCAGCTCGGGTCATGATCCCGGGGTCCTGGGATCGAGCCCCGCATCGGGCTCCCTGCTCCGCGGGAAGCCTGCTTCA